CACACACACACACACACACACACACACACACACACACTGGATTATATCCTCCTCAAGACGACTACTCGCGTGTCTCTGTGGGATTAATAAGATTACTCGCGTGTCTCTGTGGGATTAATAAGATTACTCGCGTCTCTGTGGGATTAATATCATTACTCGCTTATTTTTTGTTGATTAATATTAATACACGCATCTCTTTGGGATTAATACGATTACATGCATTTCTTTGGGATTAATATGATAACTCGTATATTTTTTAGATTAATGCGGTTACTCGAGTTTTTTTTGTGATTAATACGATTACTTTTGGGGATTAATATTATTATACGCATCTTTTTAGGATTAATACGATTACATGCATCTCATTGGGATTAATACTATTACTCGCATATTTTTGGGATTTATGCGATTACTCAAGTCTTTTTGGGAATAAAAATGATTACTCACATCTTTTTGTGATTAATACAATTACTCACTTCTTTTGGGAATTAATATGTTTGATGTTTACTTACATCTTTTGGGGATTAATATGATTACTTGCATCTTTTTAGGTTTAAAATTATTACTCACGTCTTTTGGGGATTAATTCGATTACTTGCATTTATGGTGATTATTACAATTACTTGCATCTTTGTGGGATTAATACGACTGCTTGTGCCTTTGTGGGGATTAATACGATTACTTTTTTTTTTACAGCTAGGTGAACAGAGGCATCAGGTGTAAGGTCCCACTGCCTAGGCCAATTAGTGAGCTTCCCCAGAATGCAACCCACATCAGTTGTCTAATTAAAGGTAAGAATTTTATTGCAAAGAGAAGAGATGTATCAGGTGAAGGGAAATAAAACCACCCGTTTCTGTCTTCCCGGGGATTAAACAAGGGTCCCTTTGCTGTGAGTCAAGGACGTAGACTACTCTGCTATAGTACTGTTGGACGTTCAGTAGTTGTGAGTCAAGGACGTAGACTACTCTGCTATAGTACTGTAGGACGATCTGTAGTTAGGATGTTGGATAGCATTAACTTGCCTCACTCACTGAGAAGCAAGTTGACTGTGGACCTTACGTATCCTAGCGTTAACCTTTCTGCCCTAACCTATCCTCTCCTAACCCCTTCTGCCCTAACCTATCCTTTTTTAATCTTAGCTAATCTAACCAAACCTAGCCTAATCCAGTCTAATTTAATCTAACCTAACATTATCTAATTAACCTAATTTAACCTAGCCTAATCTAATGTAACTTAATATATTCTGTCACAGCTTAACCCTAACTTATTATATCCTAACCTAACCTAACTGTTTTATTTCCAAGCCTAACACAACTTATTATGTGCTAACTAAATCTAACCAAACTTATTATATTCTAACCTAACCTAAACTATTATATCCTAACTTAACCTAACTTAGTATAAACTAACGTAGCCTAACTTAATATGTCCTAATTTAACATAACTTATTATCCTAACCTAACCTTACTTATTATATCCTAATGTAACCTAACTTTTTATATTCTAGCCTAATCTAACTTATTATATTCTAGCCTAATCTAAGTTATTATATCCTAACTTTACTTAAGAAAAGCGAAGATAGCTCATAAGAAAATTTCAAAAATATAATTCCATACAGACAGGACCACAGATTTGTACAGGCCGGTTCATTGACGGCTTTGCTTCTTGCAGGGTCAGCGTTCAATCCCCATGGTTTAGGTGGTTAGGCACTGTTCCTTCCCTCCATCCTCATATCCCACCTCCTATCCAGTCCTCATATCCTGGCTGCTATCCTCTCCTTATATTCCATCTCCTATCTTTATTAAACCTGTCCCCTCCCACTCGTTCTATCCCCACAGTCTAAACGGTTGGGCCATTTCAGGTGTTGTTATATCCGAAGCAAACTGCCTCACAAGCTTCGAAAGGCAACAACAGTTTCCTTGTTCAAACACGAACTTCATCTATCCAAGTTTAGGTTAGATAAGGTACAATTAGGGTAAAGTACTAAACTTTAGGTTAGGTTCTGCTAGGCTGTGGAAGGTTAGGTTAGGTTAGGTTAGGTTAGGTTAGGTTAGATTAGGTTAGGTTAGGTTAGGTTAGGTTAGGTTTGATTAGGTTAGTTTTAGTTACGATAGGCCAGGTTTGGTTAGGCTAGGTTAGGTTATTTATGTTAGGTCAAGTTAGGATAGGTTTGGTAAGGTTAAGTTAGGGCAGGATAGATTAGGGTAGGTCAAGTCAGGTTAGATTAGGATTGGTCAGGTCAGGTCAAGTTAGGTCAGATCAGGTCAGGTTAAACTGGAAATTACAGATTATGATAGAATTGTTGACCAGACCACACACTAGAAAGTGAAGAGACGACGACGGTTGGGTCCGTCCTGGATCATTATCAAGTCGATTGTGTCGACAATACGCTGGAATTATTTGAAAAAATTGTTCTTAACAAGCGGCAAAGTTGGCTGTTTAACTTGTGTGTGATGTGGTGAGACTATGTGTAGCTTGGTGGTGTTTGATGTGTTGTATTTCTGGTTTACCAGGTTGTGTGGCGCGGCAGTAATGGTCGGTGTGATGATGGTGATGGTGATGGTGGTGACGGTGACGGTGGTGACGGCTCAGAGGCCAGGTAGGTCATACACACACACACACACACACACACACACACACACACACACACACACACACACACACACACACACACACACACACACATTCACACACTGGCAAAAGTTAGAACATCATTCAGAAACCTAAGTAAGGAGGCATTTAGGGCACTTTACACTGCCTACGTAAGGCCAGGCTTAAAGTATGCTGCCTCATCATGGAGTCCCCACCTGAAGAAACACATAAGGAAACTGGAAAAGGTTCAGAGGTTTGCAACAAGACTCGTCCCAGAGTTACGAGGGATGGGATCTAAAGGGCGCCTGAAGGAGCTGAGCCTTACGACACTAGAAAAAAAAAGAAGGGAGAGGGGTGATATGATAGGAACCTATAAAATACCCAGGGGGATTGACAGAGTGGACATAGACGAAATGTTCACACGGAATGCTAACAGAACCAGGAGACATGGGTGGAAGCTGGAAACTCAGATGAGTCACAGAGATGTTAGGAAGTTTTCTTTTAGCGTGAGAGTAGTGGGAAAATGGAATGCACTTCAGGAACAGGTTGTGGAAGCAAATACTATTCACAATTTTAAAATTAGGTATGATAGGGAAATGGGACAGGAGTCATTGCTGTAAACAACCGATGGCTGGAAAGGCGGGATCCAAGAGTCAATGCTCGATCCTGCAGGCACAACTAGGTGAGTACACACATTCTCTACCTCTCTCTCACAGTATCAGAGCTCCGGTGTCACTACATCTTTCATCCTTAATGTCTTAAAATGTCCCATGATGGTCTGGAGAACACGAGCCAGGAAGAACATCACACAAACTCTATTGCCCTCACACATGACTATAGTCTATTGTGAAGTCCTGTGGTATGTATACTCACTGTAAGTCCTGTGGTATGTATACTCACTGTAAGTCCTGTGGTATGTATACTCACTGTAAGGCCTGTGGTATGTATACTCACTGTAAGTCCTGTGGTATGTATACTTACTGTAAGTCCTGTGGTATGTATACTCACTGTAAGGCCTGTGGTATGTATACTCACTGTAAGTCCTGTGGTATGTATACTTACTGTAAGTCCTGTGGTATGTATACTCACTGTAAGGCCTGTGGTATGTATACTCACTGTAAGTCCTGTGGTATGTATACTTACTGTAAGTCATGCGTTATGTATACTCACTGTAAGCATCTTTCCATGACAAATTCTTGAATACAGATCTTGAATAATGATTAAAATTAAATATTAAAATGCTTTAACGAATACAAATGATCTGAATAACCTGAACAGCCGTCTGTGATCCGCGAAGTCGTTCCCCCTTCCTCTTCCAGGAAGAGAAAGGAAGTCTGGTTTTCCAGACCATCTGGAAACAACTAAATCTTTTTTCCTATCAGGGGCCTTCAACAACGGCTAAGTACTCGTTCTTCCTGTTGCAGGTCCGTCCTCCAGCAGGGTGCTGGTGATGCAGGAGACGGGACAGCCGTCAGCCAAGACCTATGCCCGTCTCCTGACGCCTCTACCACCCATCAACTTCCCCTTCACCGTCTGCTACAGGATCTACATGTACCGCTTCAGGGAGGAGTCAACCCTCATATCCTACGCTGTGGACAACGCCAGAGACAACGAGCTCAGAATAGGTAAATACTCCCTCCCTCCTCTAGCACGTTCAGCAAACTGTCGTAAGGGCTTCTTCCTCTTCCAGGAATCTCTGGAAAATTCTAAGTCCTTTTTCCATCTTCTTCCAGAACCTTCTGGAAACCGCTAAAGGCTTCTTTCTTCTTCCGAGACCCTTTGGAAGCCGCTAAATACTTTTTCATTTTACTTCCAGGACTCTCTGGAATCTGCAAAGGTTTTCTTCCTAATTCTTCGAAGTCCCTCTGGAAACGGCTTAGTCCTCCTTCCTTTCTCTTTCAGCACCCTCTGGAAGCTGCAAAGCCCATTCTTCCTCTTCCAGGACCCTTCGCTACCTACTAAACCCTTCCTTCCTCCTCCATACCCGCCTCAACACCGACGCCCTTCTCCTTGCCTCGTGCTGGACGCTCTGGAAACGATGTTTCTAATCCTTCCTTTTCCAGGACGCCCTCAGGGTTGACCGGTCTTTTGCAGTTCGTCTCTTGTTTAGTAGTACAAGTAGTTAGCAGTGACAGTATTAGTGGTGGTAGTTATGGTAGTGGGAGGGTTGTAGTGGGTAAAGTAGTGGTGGTTGAGGGAGTGGTGGTAATTGTCCTACTAGTTGTTTAGTTAGTGATATTGAACGAGAGTGGTAGTAGTAATGGTGGCACTGGATGTTTAGCTGTTTAGCCGTCATTGTGATGGTGGTTATAACGTCATTAAGGTTGTTGAGGTATCAGGCGAGAACGTAAACTACCAAACTGGCCGTCAAGGGAACCCGGCCACCACTGGTGGGAGGGTTGCCACCCCGGCCACCACTGGTGGGAGGGGTGCCACCCCGGCCACCACTGGTGGGAGGGGTGCCACCCCGGCCACCACTGGTGGGAGGGGTGCCACCACTGGTGGGAGGGTTGCCACCCCGGCCACCACTGGTGGGAGGGGTGCCACCTCGGCCACCACTGGTGGAAGGTCACAGGGCCACTAACTAGGTCACAGGACCACTAACGAGGTCACAGGGCCACTAACGAGGTCACAGGGCCACTAACGAGGTCACAGGGCCACTAACGAGGTCACGGGATGTCTGTCTCACACACAATAAAACCCAATTTGTTTACATCTTGAAGGTAATTAAGATGTCTTTGGAGAGGTGATGTGGGTGACTTACGAGACATCTCATGGGGGATAATAATTACCATTTTGTATATATATATATTTATATATATCTTAATGACGGTATATATCCATTCTCGCCGGGAGATTTGCTTGTCAGTCTCCTGCTGTCACTGTTTTAAGAATGTAACATGAATGAAAAATGGTATATGTTACGTTCCCTTAACCGTTTGTGTGTTGTAAATGAGTAAAAGAGTCTTGTAAATGTTGTTGCGGATGTTTTACAGTGTGTCGCTGCTCTTAACATTCTATAATAATAATAATAATAATAATAATATATTCACAAGAAGGTACAATGGGTTGGTGAGATCACATAAGACTGATATTTTTACATTCTCGCGAAGCCATTAACACGCATAGCGTTTCGGGCAGGTCCCCAATCTAACATATCAGGTAAGGTGCAAAGGTACACTGTAGCAAGGTTTTATATCAACAAATAACTACAGCATAAGTTGACAGAGGTGATTACACTAGGTGACAAAGATAGTATCGTCTGCAAATAGTATAGTTTAAGAATGTTAGAAACATTTGGCAAATCATTGATGTATATAAGAAATAGGAGAGGTCCCAAGATGCTGCCCTGTGGCACCCCTGCTGGTAATGGTAGTGTGGGGGAGGTTATGTTATTGATGGCTACATAATAGTGTCTGTCACTGAGATAGGAACCAATACAGTTCAGAGCAAGGCCTGGGATACCATAGTGGTGAAGTTAAAGTAAGAGGTAGTTATGGTTTACAGTGTCAAAGGTCTTTCTCAGGTCAAAAGAGGCCAAGTGGGAACAAATTGTTGTCAAGGGCTGAGTAGATTATATCAAGCACCTCATAATTGCATCATTGGTACAGTTTTGGGAGCGGAAGCCAAACTGGCAGGGACTTAATATGTTGAGTTTTACAAAGTAGGAATAGAGCTGCTTGTAATTATTTGTTTCACATATTTTTGAAAGTATAGGTAGATTTAATATTGGTCTGTAGTTGTTTATGTCAGCAGTCTCGCCTCCTTTATGAACTGGCGTTACTGTTGAACAGCAGAGCTGTGGGTAGTGCAAGAGCAGGGGCAGCACTCTAGTATACCATAGATGGTAGTTCACTAATGTTCCCAGCCTTGGTTTAAAGTGATTGAATTATGAATATAATGTGTGTCTGGCTGGCAGGTAACAGGAGTAGAGAGGACAACTGCCGGTGAGATATGTAGTAAAACGTGTCTGGGTCGGGCGAGGTCAGCACCAATTGATGAGGAAGAAGCTATTGAATTCAATTGCAATATCTAAGTCTGTTGCAAGTGTGTAACCATCTTTGGAGAGTTTTATCTGCTTGTTATGTGAGTGTTTTGATCCTAGGATGTTAGAGATGGCTTTCCATACACTTTTCATATTTCCTTTTGCTGTTTTAAATATATTCTCATAAATGGAAGCTCTGGCTCAGCCTATGATACTGGTAAGCATTGATGAATATCTCTTAACTTCTTTTGTAACTAGACCAATTCTGTGTTTTTTGTTCATATTCGTGTTGTAGGCTTGGCCGTGTCCCTAGGCTGTTACTCTGCTCATACACTTACACTTAATAGACTTGTCTAGGGCTTGACGTCAGCCTTGTACTTAAGCCAAGGGTATAGTCCAACACGAGTACAGACATATCTGAGTAGAGGGACAGAATATAAATGTTTATTTACACACCTAAAATACATCTAATAGGTAAATATGTTCAGTAGAAAACTCCTCATGACCTTCTCACATCTGTATAGTGATAGTCACTACTCAATATGGTTTACCTAGCTCAAAGAACACAAGCAATATGGTAAACCTAAATCCTTTGGTCTGACACTTGAGTTTACAGAGCTGCCACAGCTATCATAATCTTAACCAGACAAATAAATATATTAAGAAACCTGGAGTCTCTCTCCCTATGTATCCCACTAGCCAGTACCTCAGGCTACTCTAGGATCTCCTGCATAAGTACAAAAATTGTGGGTTATCTGATAATCTGGCAAAAATGTAACCCTCTACAACCCCGGCTGTCAGTAAACACACCACTCACCGTCACGTCTCGTCGGCGACTGACTGGTTTGCCACGTCATCCGTCTCTTGATACCACATCTCTTATCATTTCTGATCATTCTCTATATATTCCTATTGAACCATTCTCTATTTATAGCGTATATCAATGAGTCCATTTTTCCTTTACAAAAGATCTACATACACTGTGCACGTACTCCAAAATAAACCTCCGACTATCGGTACTAGTTTCCAGAGCGGCGTGATATCAGCGACACGCGACCTCCCAGCGGCCAGGAGGCTCTTTCAGAAAACAAATGTTTACTTTAATACTTTTATGCAGCTTTCTTTCTTTCTTTTAGCCAAATTGTTACTTATCCGTTCTCCATCAAAATATCAACCCGTCCTCGACTCAAGTCCATTACATCCAGCGGTCGACCCCACAGACGCATTCATAAATTTTAACATGCTGTTCATTCAAAACGGGAATTTTCTCAAGTATAAATTAATATAATATATTGGCATATTGTGTATATATAGGCATAGGATAGGTTAGGTGGTCAGGATCTGTTGGCGATTATTTGTATTTGTAGTACGTGGGTGAAGCATTTACAGCGTTGTGGTTCGAACAAAACTCGTCAGTGAAGCACTTGTTCCGGAAGTGTTCGAACGTCATCAGTTGTGAGTCGTGTGTAAACCGTTTTTCATTCATAAACAGCGGGTTTGGCGGGTGGATGGAATTACTTTTGGGTCTATGGAGGACGGGCTGCTTCCTGGGGGTGTGTAACAAAAAGGAGGCCTGGTCAAGGACCGGGCCGCGGGGACACTAAATCCCGAAATTATCTCAGGATAACATGATCATTTATATGTTACATCTTAAACTGTCAGGCTCAGGTGTTGTGAGCTGTCTCTCTCTCAGGCAGCTTAAGTTATGTGTCATGTAAAGGCTTCCCTGTGACCTTCCTGGATGTCTTGGTAATTTAACTAATGTGTTTGTCCTCCTGGATACTTTCATGGAGCTTTTTATTATTATTGTTGTAACCTTTCACTTTGAGCTGTTGCGACTTGCTGAGGCTGAAGTGCCTTGTTAGTGGGTACGTTACCTGTAGCTACCTGTACCTGACTACGGGCAAGTGAGGTCTAGCTCTTTATTGCCCCACCTACTACCCTTCTTTATTTATTTATTTATTTATTTATTTATTTATTTATTTATTTGTTTATTTATATATATACAAGAGTTGTTACATTCTTGTACAGCCACTAGTATGCGTAGCGTATCGGGCAGGGGCTAGATTCACGAAGCAGTTACGCAAGCACTTACGAACCTGTACATCTTTCCTCAATCTTTGGCGGCTTTGTTTACATTTATTAAACAGTTAATGAGCTCCGAAGCACCAGGAGGCTGTTTATAACAATAACAACAGTTGATTGGGAAGTTTTCATGCTTGTAAACTGTTTAATAAATGTAACCAAAGGCGTCAAAGATTGAGGAAAGATGTACACGTTCGTAAGTACTTGCGTAACTGCTTCGTGAATCTGACCCCAGGTCCTTAATCCTAATTTACCCTGGAATACGACCCGCCAAATTCTTTAACAACCAGGTATCTATTTTACTGTCGGGTGAACAGAGGCAACAGTTAAAGATTGGCGCCCGGTCAATCCTCCCCGGCCAGGATACGAACCCAGGCCAGAGCGTTCGCACAAGGCGCTTGTTGTACTCATGGCGTTAAAGCTTCATCTTTCCAATAATCACAGTCTTTGTCGAACCTTTTCTCAAAGTTGCGGATGGAGGTGGCTTCCACAACTTCCCCCCTCAGTGTATTCCACTTCTTGACCTCCCGTACGGGTCCGTGTATTGTCTTACGG